TCTACCTGGGCAATCCGCAGTTCTCCACGATAAGGCAAGGAAACTTTGAGGGCATTATGCTTCTTGATGAGTTGTGGATTGACGGCAGCAATCTCAGTCAGTATGAGCCAGGAAGTCTGAAATCAGTTAGGAAGATACATCACATGATCATCAGCCTAAAAAGGGTGGACGTATTCTCAGAGATTGTAGGGGATCTTCTGCACTCCGTCGTATGGTTAGAAGTGAGAAAAATAGCATTCAGTATTCCTGATGAAATGCAACTATTGAGACTCATGTCTTTTTCTTTTGCAAAGAAAATTTCTTTTAAACAGGTTTTGTTTACAGATGCTACCGTGCCTGAGATGATCAGCATTGTAGAGGACATGACAAAATTAACAGAGGTGGAGATGAAAGACTGTAGACTCTTGGGAACCGGTCATTGGGGTATACAAATTCAAGCAAACCAATCACGTTCTCTTCGAGTTGTAACAATAGAGAAATTATCTATAGAAGAATTTTATTTGTTTTCAGATCTTAAGGCTGTTGTAGATCTAATATCTCCTCTTACTAAAATTACAGTTGAAGATACCAAGGTCTTTTTGGTACCATGCAGACTTTCACAGCATCTTTCGTCATTAGAGTATCTTGACCTCAGTGCGAATTTGCTTGGAGATCAGGGTTTGGAGCATTCAGCCTGTCAGGGTGGCTGGCCCTTACTGCAAACTCTAAATCTAAGTCAAAATTCACTGAGTGACTTAAAAATGACCGGTAAAAGCTTATCTCACCTGAGAAACCTAATTCTCTTAGATATCAGTCAAAATAATTTTGGTGAGATTCCAGACACGTGTCAATGGCCAGAAAATCTGAAACATTTAAATCTGTCCAGCACTCAAATTCCTAAATTAACAACCTGCATTCCTCTGACCCTTGAAGTTTTGGATGTCAGCGCTAATAACCTGAAGGAGTTTGGGCTGCAACTCCCTTTCCTCAAAGAGCTGTACGTTGCGAAAAACCAGCTGAAGACCTTGCCTGATGCTGCACCCATTCCTAACTTGGTGGCCATGACAATCAGGAGAAACAAACTCAACAGCTTCTCCAAGGCAGAGTTTGAGTCCTTTAGGAAGATGGAGGTGCTGGATGCCAGTGACAATAACTTTATCTGCTCCTGTGAATTCCTCTCCTTCATTCATCACGAGGCTGGAATAGCCCAAATCTTAGCGGGGTGGCCGGAAAACTACATCTGTGACTCTCCCCTGACAGTGAGAGGGGAGCAGGTCGGAGCTGTACATCTCTCACTGATGGAGTGCCACAGATCCCTCGTTGTGTCGTTAATCTGTGCGCTGGTGTTCCTGGTCATTCTCGTCCTTGTGGTTGTCGGGTACAAGTATCATGCGATCTGGTACATGAGAATGACCTGGGCATGGCTTCGAGCCAAGAGGAAGCCCAAGCAAGGTCCCCCAAAGGATATTTGCTATGATGCTTTTGTCTCCTACAGTGAGAATGACTCTGACTGGGTGGAAAACATCATGGTGCAGGAGCTGGAGCAGGCCTGTCCTCCCTTTCGACTGTGCCTCCATAAGCGGGACTTTGTGCCTGGGAAGTGGATTGTGGATAACATCATTGACTCCATAGAGAAAAGCCACAAAACGCTGTTTGTGCTGTCGGAGCACTTTGTGCAGAGTGAGTGGTGCAAATACGAGCTGGACTTCTCGCACTTCCGCCTCTTTGATGAGAACAACGATGCGGCGATTCTCATCCTCCTGGAGCCCATTCAGAGCAAAGCGATTCCCAAAAGGTTCTGCAAACTGCGGAAGATAATGAACACAAAGACCTACCTGGAGTGGCCTCTTGAGGAACAGCAGCAGCAGATATTTTGGTTTAATTTAAAATTAGCTCTAAAATCCTAGGCAGGGATATTGGATACTGAATATACAGCTCAACTACTAATGGCTTATTTCCCTTGCCTGTACATCTCATCATCTTTCTATACCTCTAGAGTAGAGTGCTGAACTACTGGAAATTCTATTGCTTGATGTGAAATTATTTTATTTTTGCAGTTGTGGGCTGGAACTGTCTACACATTTTAATCAGCAATGTTAACAAATTCTTTTTCATTTAAATATTTAAACTGAGGATGAGAAGTTGTTTAGAAATATGGTTATATAGTTTATGTGTCTTTATCTGAACAAAAGCTTTATGAGAGAGCCTGCTTAGCCAAGGGTATTTCTGAGTTCTTTGTATAAACCATTTCAAATCAAATGCAATAAAAGTCAATTTACGCAGCAAGGAGTTTGTCCTAGCGCCTCTAGTTACTGGATCTAAGGACAGATTCTCAGCAGTAGTTGGCAATCATTTTCAGTTAAGTGCCCAAATCTCTTGAGGATTGCAGATGCAAAGCTTAATCTAAAAATGCACTTTCATACCACAGTGCTGGCTGTTGCTGTATATATGTTCTACGCCAGCCCACCTTCTTGGTGAAATACAGAAATGATGAGCAGGTGTTTAGTTTCTTTGTTCCATATATGGGAACAGATGCTTCAGAGTGGGGTACAAACACTTTTCTTTCTTGCTTAAATGTAGTTGCCTGAATACTCAGCTAGGATGTGGGAGACACGAATGTATAAGCAGTCTTTGAATCCATGACCATTCTCCTCTCTCTAATCAGTGGCTTTTGCACTGTCACAAAAACAGTGCTTCGGTCCTTTTTTGCTCTCTCTTTAAGTCAGACCGTGCAACCCAAAGGGCTGGAATGTCTCCCACCTCACAGCACTGTGTTTCTTGTTGGCTGGGCCCACCATTCCTCAAGAAGAGAGCTGGGACAAGGACTCCCAGCTGCTGAAGGAGGGGATTAAATCGAGACACCAGCACCAGGCTCTTCCTTCAGAGAAAAAATGTGTTTTAAAAAGAAAGGTAGCTCAGGAGATACCTGTATTGTAGACAAAGGAAATTTAAGATGGCTTTAATAGTTCGAATCCAGTAGGCCAGAGGGACAACAAACTACTGGACCGGTGTAGGGCTTAGGCACAGTGTACTTGAGACTGACACATCAAGGCATGTACAGTAGGAGACCTTAGAAGTTTTCACATGGAAATGTCTGGAGCATTTTGCTGAATCAATGATTAGATCATGTCCAAGTTGTTGTTTTTAATATTGTGTTTTGGTCTTGGGCATCTAAAGTATACAAAATCTCACTTCAAACACCCGAATATTTTTAATCAAGTTTGTACATTGAAGCTGTTCATCTTGTAGCTTTTTGCCTTCAGTGCTATTGCTTTTAGGGGGTTGTTCTCTGCAGAGTCTTCAGTGAGAGCAGAAGTCTTAGCCTCTGCTAGCCATTTAGAAGGGAGCGGATAAACATTCTTCCATTACACGCACAACTACGCAACTCTGACAGTGTAACATAAAGAGGAAGATTTATTTACCTGCATTTCTCCATATATGAACACATGCATAAAGCATTACAGGAATCATTGTCTTTGCCAGCTCTTCTAAGTGATCTAGGAAAAAAGCCACCTTTCTACTATGTATTTAAATTTTGCTGTTTCTTTTATTTACTTACTTACATTTTTATTGCTCTGTTCCCCATTTTATAGCATATAAACCTCTACCTTCATATGTAAGATGGCTTCACGCATCTTCTGCTTTATTCCCATACATACTAAAGTGTAAGTAAAGCTAATCTGTATTTTTCACTTCTATTGACAATATAAAGATTCTTTAAAAAACTGACTATATTTCATTTGAGTTCAAAAGATACTTTAGCTAGGCTGGGAAAAATACCTTTTAAGCCAGCTACTGTGACTTCTAAGCAGAACTGCACACTGTTGCATAAACAAGCTATGTTTCAATTCCTTGCTTTGTGGCCAGGGTAGTACTGAAGTCAAACATTCAGCCTCTGAGCAGGAAGACTCAGGAGTATACCTGTTCTAATTCTGAACACACATTTACTTTAAAAAAAAAAAAAAGGGAGGGGCTAGTCAATCATTAGACAATTAAATACATCTGTTGTAAAGTCTATTTATCACACACAAACATCACAGCAAGTCCTACTCTTCCTGTTCATTATACATTTCCAACTGGATTAGAAAAATTACAGTGCAAATATGTACACAAAAAAATTCAGTTTGTGATGATTAAGACGGAGCCAGGCCATAACTCGCTTACTCAAAACCTGAAAAAGCATGGGAGTAAAAAGCAAAAGAGAAAAATCTTTTGCACACTGTAGTCTCTTCAGAGCACAAGAATCAGTTGGACAGTCCAGCATTTTCTCTGCCAACAGGTATGTGCCTCCAACTGGCACTGCAACACAAAATCTTTGCCAAAAATCTCAGGTGCCCTTCCCTCCACAGTCAGGTCCATCTGGCTACCAAGCACACAATACACATTGCTGTGGTTCCAATTTTTTATAAGGGGGTGTTGGAAGAGGTATGAGTTATAATACAGCAGCTCTAGAAAGAGGTGAGGAAAAAAAAAAGCTAAAGATAACCTTATGCTAGTTTTGCCTGAGTTTGGGAATAAAATTACCTTACATTAACCAAATGATCAAACTATTTAGGTGCCATGTTTTAGAATTCGCTGTATCCAAAGCCATTATGTGATCTAAAATTCTCATCTGCCACTCAGCTTTCTGTATTTAGAATTTCAACTATTAGGCACTACAAATATACTTAATAATGAAACAATTTTTAAATATTGGCACTTTCTTTTCCTTATTTTTTAAGAGCTCTACATAATAAGAAAATAAGTCCTTTTGTCTAAAACAATTTTCTCACTGAAGGCAGCAATCTCTTTTAAAACTCTCACTTTGAGAAGATCAAAAATGCTTTAACATCATGCTGTAAAGTAATGCAGTCTTGCTATTAAGATAAAAGGAGGCACCCTCCCAGTAAAAGGGTGTATAGCACACCAGAGTTCAGCCAACTACTATCTTCCATAGTCTTTTAAAATTAAGTATAGAATATGCATATTATTGTACACAGGTAAATATCCAACACTTTGCATTCTCACTAATAATCTTAGTCCTATTCTAAACTCAGTGAGTAATTAATGCCTTGGACTATGCCTATAACAGCTGGTTACCAAGCCACCAGATAGCGGAGCCAATCCAAAAGTTGCCCATACAACATGTGTGCGTTCCCACCTAATCTGCTGTTAAGGAAACTGGAGATACAGTTTAACAGTTAGTAAATCTTGGCTTTTTTTCTTAGTCAGAATCAAAGAAAAAGTATAGGCGTAAAGTTTTGAAATGCTTTCTTTCCAGCTCTTCTAATTTAATTCCTTTTGCATAAGGGTAAGGTTAAATTTAAACATGTCATTGACATATTGTTGAAATAAAGCTTACAGAAGTAAGCTAAATTTTGCTTCAACTCAAGCAGGTTTCTGAAGATGCAGCAGCAAATCTTGGACTATTCTTCTGTTTGCTACAGAAATTGGAGGAAAAAATGTAGTCTACCAAATAGTAAGAAGAAAGGAAAAGCACTTGTCCTGAAAGTGGACTATATCAATCCTGTGCACGAAAGAGCAAATGCCACTGCGTGGAATCTTTCTAAAACTGTGATTTACATTCTTTAAAATGTTCCTCTCATTATATAAATGATTTTTGGATGTCCGAAAGTTAAGAGGGAAAAATATATATATACACACACACACATATATATAGAAATACACACACACACACACACACACACACACACACACACACACACACACACACACACACACACACACACACACACACATTTTACTTGCTTGGGGTCCCAGATAAGATAAAGTCAAACAAACAGAACTATCATCTTCCCTAAATATAATAGCTCCTTAACAATAATTGTTTTTCCATTTATTTAATGTGGGCATCTCATCCCACCACTGCAGACCAAAACAACAATTAACAAGTAATCAGGCTACAGTTTAGAAAATTCAAATCAGAAGCACACTTGTTAAGGAAAGAATATGGGTTACTTAAGATCCTCTTCAAATCAACTTTCTCCTTGCATATGGGCAAGTCTGTTTCTTGCCAACAGTACACCAACCACAAATGCAGAATTCATGAAACCTGTTATCAAGCGTATTATTAAGGAGTCTTTTAAATATAAACAAGGAGCAATGCATATATCTGCAAGCCCAGTCAAATCATCAGCAGATAATTTTAATGACTGATTATGGCTACTGCCACCTGTTTTATAACTGAGCAGTTTCAAATGGTCTTCAAATGGCTTAAATATTTAGAATTATTTTAAAATTGAATCCAATGCCCTGAACATAGACCAATAACTGTATTCTCCAGCATGCAAGAAGTCAGGAGACTTACAAACTGCAGAAGAAAATGATTCATAACAGTGCTACGGAGTGTATGCTGTACCTTTCCTTTTGGTTTCTGGAATGCAAAATGCTTAGTTGTATGGCACCCCTCAGTACCAGTTCCGGGTTTTCTGCCAGGCTTTAGGCTAGGTATATGTTACCTTTTGAGAAGAGTTCTACATCTGCTCTTAAAACTGCCCACCAAACACTACCCCAGGCACAGCCAGCGGGAACCCTCTGCAGAATCTTGAATTATCAGACCTGACCAATGGGTAAGCCTGCATGGGTTAGCATGGGGCAGTTTAATACGCTGCCAGGCACACCCAGCCTGGCTGAACACAAAGTATCTAGAAGGCAGATTTAGGCATGGAGTAGTAGGGTTATGGCTTTTCTTACGTTATGTGTCAGAAAGCCGTGTGGACTCAGGTTGTGACACAGAATTGAAATACATTTCTTTCTTACTCCTATTTTTACTTTCATGCTATGCTGTTTCTGAATCTGTTTTTTGTTCCTTTTCTCTTGATATTTATTGCTGTTACTATTATTTTTAATGCAGCAGAAAAGAAGAAAAAACAACAGTTCCATAATTACATGAAAAGGATACACATGATTACAGGACAGCTGGTAGGTATTTTCAGTGATCCCTTCTTCATTTACATCCACAAATATTTTCTGCCCACAGACTGCACAGATGTCATTGGACACGTTTCTTGTTGGTATGCCACTGACATTGTAAAACTGTCAAGATCAAGATAATATAGGAAAAAGAAGACAATAACAAAATAATCTTTGCTTAGAGTCAAGCATACACAAACACTGTTTAAATGACATCAAAGATAGGGACAGCATGAAAATGGCTACAGTTGTCTTACTCTGTGTCAAGATGCACAGAGTTACCAAGAGACAGTTAAAATCTTACTGTTGAGGAAAGAATGTCAGCAACTGTGTCCCTGCTTTTAAGTAACTGAGACAAATAATTGTGTTGAGATAGTCACCTTATTTGGAAAGGGAACATAAGAACTACAAAAAGGGAGAGACAATAAGACTTTCACAGACTTTGGGGAAGTAAGAAGCATGTCTCCCTATGGCAAAGGGAGAATGTTATAGTGTCTTGTACATGGGAACTAGCCTGTTAGCAGCCCAAACCTAGGGTTGAGCAGTTTGTCTAAGGGACAAGAACAGCTTTCTTTAAGGAGAAGTGAGGTCAGTTTACTGCAAATGTATCCAGTAGACCTTATTTATTCTTGGGAGCCCAGAGACGCAAGCAATTCAAGAGCTCGCTTCCAGTCCTTGCAAACAGTATTCAAAATGATGATTCCCCAGCACTTACACCAGTGGTGGAAGCCATGTAGTCAGAACAAATCTCTGTAAAGTCTCTTCCCATCACTCCATAGTACAGCCCATAAAAAAACAGTATCACACCAAAACCCATAGAGTCTTCAGTCTTGATTCTGTCATAAAACCACAAAAGAAAACTTGGTTGAGTCTGTTGTTGCCCAGAAATGCCAGAAAAAAATAACAAGATTTTTACTTCAATTAGCTCTTGCTTCCTTCCAACAGGAGGTTTTAGTTTCATATTTTTTGCAGCAGACACCTTCATGCTTGAAGTATCAATGTGCTTGAAGATAAGCAATGTTGAAAGCAGGCTATGGACTACTTTTGGAGCCACAGCTACTGAACTCTGTTATATACAAGCTGACACATTTTCTTATAGATAGGGACTTTGCCAAGAGCCTTAGCACACAGAACAGTTAGGTATATTTCATTGTTTTGCAGGAGCAACAAGATCAACCAGATCTTAAGACGTAAGATTCCCCTTTAAAGAAATGTTAAGCTTCTCTAGCTGAAAGTGCTCACTATTCTCCTGAAAACAAGTTCCTCAGGACAAAATATTTGCTAAACTGCAGAAAGCAATATTAAAAAAATAATAATAAAATGGGCAGAGCCTGCAAAAATGCTCCTATTTATTATCATCTATCTGAGACTGTGGTACAGGCTATGGGAGACTGCAACCTGGCTACTGAATACTCATAAAACTGGAGCTTCGCAGGTGACATCAAAAAGGGCTTGTAATTTATGTTGTAGCAGGGCACAAAATAACAGAGTTGGCAAATTTTGCAATTACCTTTTCAAAATACACTGGTGGGGGAAGATACCTGCTTAAACAAACAACCTCAATAGAATAAAGCTTACAGTATTGGTAACATAAGCCTGTTAAATTTCTGCCAGGAATTTTCCAACAGAGCTGGGTGAGTCAACTATACAATGTATGGGCAATAAATCTGACACTTAAAGGAACAGCTGATTTATGTCTGTGCAGTATCTCCAATACCTCCAAGAAGAGTTGGACTGGCAGCAGATGCATTGTGTAGTTGATCTACGTGCTCTTAGGGAATGTCTGGAATTTCTAGTTGTAAGGCACCTCAACCAGAGTTCCAGCACAGTTGCTCTGATTGGACTGCTAGCCAGCCAGAAATCCTGGGCAAACATTAAAAAAAAAAAAAAATCAAAATTGTACTCAGACAAAAATTCCAGCTGGATTAAGAGGGCAGATCTAGAATCATCTGGATAACTTTTGGCAATAGTTAAAATAAAAAGAGGAGAACTCCCTAGCAACATAGCAGACTCATAGAGCGGGAAATTATAATTACCAGAAAGATTTGTAATGTGTTTTTGATATGACTGTGCTTCTCTACTTTTATCCTTTACTTTCAGCCTTTGTATGTCTCATCTCCTTCAGGAATGTAGCTGAAGGACTGAGGATTTACTCAGCAGTTAAATTAAGGGTTTAAATGAGTGAACACACTGACTCTATGAAGTTTAAAGTTTTCCCCCTCCTCTCTTCATGCCACAAATACAAGTTGTAAACTTACTAAACATGAAATTTCAGACCAACTATGCAACAATAAAAATCAAGAAGAGAACCTATAACTACACAACCTAAAACAGATTTTATATGTTGAGGTGGGTGCAGAAGAGATCAAGCTTCAGCGGAGCAATTTCATTGCAAGGAAAGAGAAATCTACATCATAACAGAGGAAATCATAACAGAGCCAAATCCCAATTTTTCTAAACAATATCTACCTAAAGAATAAATTGAATCCAAACATGGTAAATGTTATTGCTAAATAACCCACAATTCCAATTGCACAACTCAATTTATAGATCAGAAGGAACCGCTTGTATACCAACCTGTGGAAAAGAGAAAAGGAAGCCTTGGGTATGTTGCAGAGTATGTTGCAACAAAATGCCAAATACGTATACAGCTTCTACCGAAGTATTTGCATAAAGTAGTTTTAAACTTGTACATTTCATTTGTGTATTTATTTAAAGGTGAATAAAAATGTATACTACAGAGGAGGAAAGTGGAATGTTAAACTTTTGTATCATTTTGCTTCAGTCTTCACAAGAACCATTAGCTGTGAACAGTTTGCTAACATAATTAAAACTAACATCCAGGAATTGTGGAGGAGGGGACACAGGCCAGAACAGGGGAACGGCTAAAAGACAACTGAGGTAAGTTAGATGTATTCAGGTCTATAGACCATCAGTAGATCACTGATGAAATTTTCCTAAAATACTTAAAAGTTAGCAGAAGCAATCTCTGAACCATTAATAATCAACTTTGAGGGCACAGGGTGGAGAGGTGTAGTTTCAGAAGACTGGAGAAGGAAGAATATAGGCCTCTTTCTAGAGGAACAGTGATACCTTTAAGAGCTCAAGAACACCTGGGATGACTGTTGCTGGTAAGAGTGTGCATATTAAAAACCAAGATAGAATGGATGGAATAAACTTAATTTTAATTCTTGTTTAATTCTTTTTCATTTGCGTGTCATGCCTGATAAACACTGCTTTAGTGGTATTTATAATTCACACTGCAGTAATAAGATTCCTTTAAATTCAGCTGCTACTGGCCCTTTTTGTAATGTGATAAATTTTGGTACAGGGGTACTTTTATTTACCCTTCTCCACCTCCAGGTTTTAAGAAACAAAACCAAAACAAAACAAAACCAACAAAAAGGACATACTGTGGTGTCCCTCCTGAGAGAGGCTTGCGAGTTGCTCTGAAAATGATGGATCTAGTAATAACAGAGAACGTTCCCCACATGGACAGAAATCTCCAGCAGTAAAGTTTGATGGTGAAATGAAGAGGAACAACCCACATCTGCAGCAGTGTGACTAACTGTTGGCAAAAGTGAGACAGCCATTTCGAAGTAATGACATCCTAGAATTCCATTCTGCATGATTATTTTTGATCAAAATATTGCCAAACTGTAAAACCTGTACAAAAAATGTAACTTGTACAGCATCAGACATAGTAGGGCCTTTGGTCCTAGAATAATGATTTCAGTCTGTCTTACACCCGATAAATAGTGAGTAATCCTAGTTCTAGGAAACTGGTTATAACATTGAGATACAGCTCATCAGACCCACACACCCTGTCCTCAAAAGCTAAACTGTCTATTGATATAATTCTACTGAATCAATCATTAAGGTGTGTTTTCTAAATCAAGTTACACATACATGGAGACAACTGCCCTGCTAAAACTTTTGGAGCAACTTTTCTGAAATCAGTGGAGAGTCTGGCCTAAAACCAATCTTCAGAGAAAGGTGCAGCATTTGGCTCCTTTAATTTGGGACTGTTACCTGACTATGCTACTGAAAGTTTTCTTAAAAACCCTTTCTACACCACAACAAAATGCTGTTGCTTAAACTTTTAAATCTTTTTTATAAATTAAATGATATTAAACTTAATGATGTAAATTTGCTCAAGTCTCCTTTTCAGTTTGCCTGTAGTAATAAAATATGCTATTTCACATTTTTTGCAATAAGCACACATTTGAAATCCACTGAATAATCAAAAGCCCTGTAATGTCAGTTCTGTCCATGACTCACATTAATAAACCATGGATTTGGGGTTGTAGAAGCCTGATAGTGACTAAGATAAAGGAAGAATGACTTTAATATGCATTTGTATAGTTAGCTCCTGGGTCTTTGCGATAAGGCTACTAAGATTGAAGAAAAAAATCTGAGGGCAGATGGATTTATAGTTTACCTACGTTATGCAGGGATGTTTTTTAAAGCAAATGAAAACCATAATCTGTCTAGATGAAAAAGTTATTTCTGTGGAAGATGAATCTATTTTCTAAACCCAAAAATAAAGTTCTGAAGGAATAAGTGTTACTCCCAGTGAAACCAATGAGAATTTTGCCACAGATTTTGATCGAAGCAGGACTGGATTCTTCCTCTTCACCTATGAAAAGTAAGCTACTGCTGGGGGGAAAAAAAACCCCTCTAACGAGATAGAAAGCATGAAACTTGTGAAAAATGGTATTTCACAATATAAGTTTGAATAAATTAAATGAAATAATAGGCACATGTTAACCACACACCATCCCTGGATCACATCATTGGCACACATTTCTCCACCCTCCACCCCCAGCTTTAAGGGCTATCTTGCAGGAGGCTGCCAGAGCCTCTCTGTTGCCTGCCTTCCTGCTGTCTAACATGATCCCTTTCCATTGTTCTTACATACTGGGTGGGGGGCGTTGTTTTTTAGTAGGCTGAAAGTGGAGTCTAAATTTAAGAGGCAGCGCCGTAACTGGATGGGCATTCATCTCCAGTAAGGTAGCTACTTTCTAATACAAATCTAGCACTGAGCATTGTTACCATGCAAGCTGCAAAATGAAGTCCTAACTCATTTTAAAACGGTATCACAACCTTCTCTCAAGGAATTCTACAAACAGATCAATTGGTATATATTATTTGCAGTAATTGGCTAAAAATACCTTACTGTTTTTTACATCGGTCAGACTGTTAATTTTAATACTAATAGCCTCTATGTGAAATGTATTAATATTTTGACATGTAAAAGAGGACAAAGATATGAAACCAGTCATAGAGATGAACAGCTCAGTATTATTGATTTATTATTAACACTGGAAGGTCACCATCTGGACAATTCCATAAAATAACACATCTGCATTGCTGCTAAATGGAAGCGTTAACATCTGGGTCATATTATTCCAAATTTTCCTCATCCACCCATCATAGCAAGAGGAATTTCCTGACAAATCAGATCGCTGCCCAAAGGTAAAATGTTTTTCTCATTACCGTACTTTAAATGAGCTCAAAAGACCTAGAAGTGAAGTCAGCATCAGCGTCATAGACAACTTTCCTATTTTCTAATTATGCAGATTAGACTGGTCGCGCAAGCACCAACTGAAAAACCTGCATCTGTACTCTGCCTCACTCATAATGTTCTCCCTAATCTGAGTGAATAAAAATGCATATCGCAAGCAAATTCGGTAGAAGAGCATTACTCTAGTATCCTTTCCATCTTATAGTATGTGGTGACCACTGCATACATAAAGAAAATAACTGCATAATAATTAGATTTATTGTGACAGACTGACCTTACCAGAACTTCCTAACTTGGCAACACAAGCTAACTGGCTTTCTAAAAGTCTAGTTTCTTTTGATGTAGACATATTCAAATACTCAGAAACATATGCATGAAAGCAGTAATAATCAGCTATGTGGGTTTTTTTAGTTTTAAATTAACATGCTTATATTTGATAGTACACTGGAAATTGGCAGAGATTTCCATATTAAGTAAACCAAATGACTTTATTTTCAAGTTTAGCCTCATTACTTAGGTGTAGAAATCAATGCTGTTTTAAGTACATTGCTTCATTTTTCATCCATATTCCAAAGTAAGTTCTCATTATATGACTGTCATATGATATAAGATGTAGAATCAGTAAAATGGGCCACTGCCTATAGGACTGCAAGTAGGGCTTTTGTGTTTGAAATTGTTCTGAGGCCATTACAAATCTGCCTCTCTATCTTATACCTTTTAAGATTTCTATTATGCCACGGGAGAACAATTTTGTCCACATATATCATATTTGTTCAATTTTAATCAATGGACAACTTCCAACAGAAACCAAATTGCATTATAAGAATCAGCTGAGTGCCTGATAGTCAAAATTTCCTTTGGGAAAATACAGAATCAGAGCACTAGTAAGCTCTTTCCTTCTTTCCCTCATTTGACATGCTAGGCTCTACCACTTGCTTTTATGCTGCGAAAAGTGGATAGGGTAGGATAGGGTTGGACAGGGTAGGATACATTCTCAAGGACTGTAATCTTCTGACCAGTGTTCTTGGTTGCCACCCCGTGTCCTAGAGGACACAACATGGTTGCAAGCACATAATTGTTTCCATCTCTTCAAATTAGAGAAGTCAAAAATTCCTGAATGAACGGAGAGACAAGAACACAGACTCAAACTTACTAAAAGTAAGGTTTTTACAATGTGGATCAGAAGGGCACAGATTCTATGTTTATTTTTTAAAATCTCAGACAACAGCAAAATTCTCAAAAGTAATTGAGAAATTATGATTTTCTCTAATTTGCTTCCCTCTCTTATGGAAGTTCACTGTGAACTGCCAACTACCAAATAGAAGAAAAAAACACAATTGTCAGATTGGCCTACAAATACTTTATTCCAAGCCAAGCCTTACTAGCAAAACCATCTTTTACTTCCTCAGTACTAAGATGACACCCCTGTTACTTTATACCTGGCCATCTGGTGAAGGGCAATCTCTTCCCTCTTGCCAAAATTACCCCCAGCTGAGTTTTGGTTGCTCTGTTGCAACTTATGCTCTTTCCTCTTTGAAATAGGAGCCTTTCTCCCACCCTGCCTTTCTTTCATCAGGAGGCATTTTACATTCTTGATGAGCCTGGATAAGGCTCTTTTGGAAGCTGCAGGCTGTTGCTGGTTCTCTTGCATCTAGTAAGTAGTTGTTGCTTTTTATTTTTGTTCTTCTTAGACCTAAGTTAATGAATGCCCTTTCAGGGCTGATTTTATGCTCCCTTTGGTCTTTGTTTCCTTTTCTCTTTACAAAGAAACCTAACTTTTCTTTTTTCATGTTTACAAAGCACTTTGAAAGGGAAGGAGGGAGTCAATCCCTGCAGTCCTTGGCTATACTTCCACTATCAGGATTGTGCAATTCTCGCTGAGGTCTTACTATGTCTGAGAATACCATGGGTATCTGGAGAAGGGATCTATAAATGCAGACATTCATACTGAACTCAAAGACTCAGACAGAAAGGTTTGCTAATTGATGCTGCCTTCTAAGTCATGATAGGCAGTGGAAAGCTGGCTACTCATTTTCTTAATCTCCTGGGGGAAAAAAACAGAAAAGCAAGCAGTTTCTGCTCAGAGAAAAGGAGCCCTGAGCTTACCCCTTATGGAAGGCAATGTGCCCTCACTCCTTGACTTCCCTTCTCTTTTGCTCTCAAAGAAGCAAGCATGTTTTCACAAACAGTCAAAGATGTTTGGTTCTTCCTCTTCAGTGCTAGATGCCATTGTACATAACCTGTACGTGAACTACAAAGGCATAAACTGAGATGTCAAAAGCAGGATGGCAAGTAAGAGAAATGCATAAGCAAACAAAAGTAGAGGGCTTTTTCCTCTTTAGTGGGTATGTGGTTGTTTTTCTAATTTTGACTTGCTTGTTTCCCGACAAGTCGAATGAAAGTGATATGCACACGAATGCACATGTAATAACTGCCACCTGGAAGAGCTGTAATGCAGCAGTCTAGACGTGCCTGTACTTGGTGAAGCTGTAGATTTTTTTTTTTGTTGGGTGTATTTTAATGTTAAATGGACAATTTCCTGTATGCATTAACCAAGTTGCTTAAATAATAAATGAGACCAGATACACAGCTTCTGTTTCTAAATCTGAGGGTTTCCTTATCTGATGCAGCAATGTATGCTAGTTACTTTTTCACCTAATTTGTGTAAGGATTTCATTAATTATTCAATTTCATATTTTAATGTTTGTCCTATTTGTTAGTCTTCAAAGTATGGTGGTCTTAAAACTATATATAGTGGCTTATAGTGGTTTCAGCATATGGTGTTAGTCTTCAAAGTATAGATTTTGGCACTTACTATACAGCTAGAAGTTCAGAATTTTAACGTCCCATACAAAATACTTTTAAGAAAGCAAGCTAATATGATGAGATCAACAGAGGGTATTAAAAAAAAAAAAACAAACTATACACAAGTTTCTGGATATGAAACATGAGGGCAGCTGCAACTTAATACACAAACTCATACATTGTTTTAATGAAATACTCTGTTAAGTTACCTAATATGGAATAAATGCAATGAACCATCTACTGGTAGAGACCTACTATGAGTGGCACTCTCTTGTAAAAGTACCTTCATAAATACATGTAATAAGTGTGAGAATAAATTACTCTCATGACTAAACAGAGCATGAAGCAGAACCTCAGTACAAAGTTAACTTCAACTTCTCATGCTACTATTTTTACTGAAAGAGGCTCTGCTCCACTTCCTTTATTACTGGGGTAGGAGGCCTCACTGCCACCACAGAGCTGTGCTTTGGTACCTAAAACTTAAACCCCAATATTTTTCTGATGCAGGTGTTAAGTTCTGTTTATTTTAAAATGCACTACAAAAAGAAACAAAAATGTCCTCAGAAAGTCTTAGCAAAAATCTTGTAATGCTTGCAGTTGTATGGGAGCCTCCCTAAACTAGCTTACCTGCATTTAAAAGTATAGTTTTGGGTTATGTAATTTATAGCTTATGTAACTTTGTAAGTTTGACAAGCTCCTGTAAACTAATAGCTGGGAATGAAGCTTCAATTGCTGAAGTCAAAGTTACACAATTAAATGACTGTAACAAGCGGCAGACTGTTGGTGTTTTGACTTGGGAAAGCAGATGTAGTACACAGCAACTAACCTTAAAGTACTGTAAAGCAAAGCAGTGAAAAAGCAATGCAGACTGCATTTTTCTTAGGCTACCACAGACTTTCACAGACAAACAGGGTCTTCCCAGTTGCTCATTGTTGTATCGGCACTGATTAGGCACCAGTCTCATAAAAACGATTTTTAATGGAATGGTGACTGAGCGACTTCAGTTACTTCTAATCTGTTCTTCATTTAATGGTTGTTGAAATCAGTGATGCAAAGACTGCTGCAAAAGAAATGCATGAAAAGCTCCGAACTGAATTTGGCCAAGATGCGACAACAAACATAAAGTGGTTAAATGGTATAACAGAACTGGTCTAGATGAGAAGCTAAAGAGAACATCAAGGTAAAATAGTATCACATATGATGCTCAGATGCTACACATGCTCAGGGTTAGGGTCCTGTGTGTTTGTAAAAGTTGTTGACATGAAGCCAAACTTCTCAATGGCTTACACTACCTGTGATTTCATTAGACTCTTCACTACTATATTTGTTGCCATTACTAACATTTCATCACCATTCCAGACTCTGTCAAGTATAGTTGAAGAGTCTGATTCATAACCTCTCCATTACAATCTTGTGCTAAAGCAATCATAGATCAGGCTATTTTTATATCTCTTACCAAAATAGTTTATGTAAATTGAATTAACAGCTCATTCTCCCTTCTATGTTTAGCAGCCTTGTTAGAAATCAAGGTTTTAGAATTAACTCAACTTAAAATCCTTTAGAATCTGGGGAGCAATTGCCAGGGGATCAAGTATTGCTTGGGACAGTTATTGATGCCACTGTAACTGAACTCCTAAACAGCAAAAGTCTGTATTTCAACTTGCAGATGGCTTAGGGCACTCATCAACTCATGAAGAAGGGAAAAGATGAGACACTACTTGTGTGCTTCAGATTCTGCCTATCTGTAGTATCTGTGTAATCTCCATTCACCCAATAGTTTTATTTATTTATTTAATGTTTACCTAAAACTCATTCCCTTTCAAGGGCTGTGTTATGAGTACAAGATGATGCCCATTTCCACCTCTTCTTTTCCCTAGTAAAATTCTTCTCCTTTGACTCAGTAAACAGTAATTTGTGCTACGGAGGAAAAAAAAATCAACAGAAGGGATGGGGAGGCCATTTACGAGGTGCCTGACTTTTTCCAGCTATTGAATAGCAACTGCAGGGGTGGAGGCTGGGTCTTTCTAGTTTTCTCAGGTTTACAGAGAAGTGTGTTGCAGTGAAAGGAACCGAGCTGAGGCACATTAAGCCTCAGTTTTAGCACCTTAACCACAAGACAAGCTTTCTCTCTAGTTAAGTATGTGCATGAGTAACTTGATGAATAGGGGCCTTGGATTTTCTCAGTAAACCTTCTCTGAAATATTACTTCATCTAGATAAGGGTAGTGACTGTGTTCCTCCCTAGTCCATTTTAAGACAGTTGTTTGAAAACTCAAAGCTTTTTCCTAAAGGCTTTCCCACCAAAGACTGACTGCAGCATCAGTATATATACATAGAAAATAAAACAGAAGTTGTTTTTTCTCCCCACATAAAAGCTATTTTCTACCCGATCAAGAACCGAGGCTTGCTGCTCTCCATGGATGCACAGTTGTCTTGCCAGATGTAAATACCTAAGAGTATGTCATGATTGCCAACAGTTGCCTGAGAAAGATGGCTATCTTAAACCACCACAGCTCTAAAACTGCAGTCTTTCTGAAAAGCTACTCACATTGTATGACTGACAGTGTCTTTGCTTCCACTGAATAAGTATAATCCGGGCAACAATCAAGGTTGCAATGAGAATAAGAATTATTTCCATAAGCATGATTCATGACTATGGTGCTTTGCATGCATTTTCTGATGTTGGAACCTGAAAAGAAAATATACACACTATTTAAAAAAAAAAAAAAAAAAATTGGATTGCTTTATTGACCCTAGAGGTGACAGTGAGCCTATGGGTGTGCGGTTATTTGCAAGGAAATGTGCTAGTGTAGTTGTGCATGAAGGCACCAAATAAAAAGTCAGACAATAATACTCCCTCTTTATAACCGGAACTGTTATCCTGAAAAGAAAATGTGAAGTAAATTTATGAGCAGAGAAGGACATCTCTTTTGGTGTTTTTTTTTTTCCCCCTAGTGACTTGGTCCTGAACAGAAATGTAGCCACAAACACACAATTCCTGTAAATTTTAAGGAGAAATTTCAGATCAGCAGATCTGAGCTCTGCATGCTCTTTTCAGTCCAAGCAAAATGCAAACTCAAAAGAGATTACACCCTGTTTTAGCTTCCTTCCCTATAAAGTGAGGATCATAACTGACTCTTCCTTCTAGAGTTAATGAGAGTTGGGAGGTGATCCTGCCCCTCTACTCAGCCCTGGTGAGGCCACATCTGGAGTGCCGGGTCCTGTTCTCGGCTCCCCAGTACAAGACAGACATGGAGCTACTGCAGTGAGTCCAGCAAAGGCCTATTAAGACAACGAAGGGACTAGGGCATCTCCCTTATGAGGAAAGGCTGAGAGAGCTGGGACTCTTCTGCCTGGAGAAGACAAGACTGAGAGGCGATCTCATCAATGCGTACAAGTATCTGAAGGGAGGGTGTCCAGAGGATGGGGCCAGACTCTTCTCCGTGGTGCCCAGCGACAGGACGAGAGGCAACGGGCACAAACTGAAACACAGGCAGTTCTGCCTGAACATGAGGAAAAACTTCTTTGCTGTGAGGGTGACAGAGCACTGGAACGGGTTGCCCAGAGAGGTTGTGGAGTCTCCTTCCCCGGAGATACTCAAAAGCCATCTGGACACAACCCTGGGCAACGTGCTCTAGGTGACCCTGCATGAGCAGGACTAGACTATCTCCAGAGGTCCCTTCCAACCTCAACCATTCTGTGACTCTGATTCTCTGAGCCACCAAGAAAGAGAGGGATACACTGGCAGCTGTTAATTGTTCTCCTTCACAACTAAAGCTGAGTAAATATCTGTGTTAGGGTCTCATGTCCCTGCAGTGAGAATCTTGAGATCTTGGTCTGAGCTCGACTCCAATGAACCTGGATCTTGATTTTGCTGTGATGTGGAGCTTCCATGGGTGTGCCTGAATGTCAGGACTCAACAGCACCTCCTAGCTTCTAGATCTGAGTATGCCCCAAATGTGTTCTGAAATGATGCTAAAGTAAGAGATAGGAACGGTCTGTCTCCCTTCCCTTTCCATGCTCTTCCTATGGGAAGAAGCACCCCACACATGGGTTGGATGGGAGCTGCAGCATGTTCTGGTTGATCCCTGCCCTGGACAACTTTCAGATTAAGACCTTGTGTTATGCTGGCTGATGTGCACCAGCTACTCTATTCAGACATAGCCTGAACGTAAACTAGTCTGGATCCAGGTTTGAGCAAGGAACTATATGAGCCTGAAACTATTTTTCATTGCCAGTACCTGTTATCCTTGCCAAACTCTGAACCCAATTAAAACTTTAAACTTTGCAAAAATGTGCGTATAGATTTAAAATCTGTTCCTGTTTCCCATTCAAATAATGTAGCTCTTCAGAGGCAAAAGTACAACAGTTGTCACGCTTTTTTCCATTTAAAAAGAAATGGCTACTTGATTGCTGCTTAGCGCAGATGATACAGAACCGGAGTAGGTACTGATAGCAGTGCCAAACATGTCATCTCAGTGTTATTTAAGTACCACTGAGAAGTTTATTCTGCCTTTACGGCTCCCATCTCTCCCAACTTGAAATACACCTCTTTACTATTTAGTTTTCCTAAATCTAAATGGACACCAAACCAAGAATGCAGTAGATTTTCTAGAAATCCAGATTTCTTTCCTGCTTCCTTGCAAAAACAGCAGTCAGAGACAACTTTCAGAGAGGGAAGAAGTTGTTAAATATAATTGTTGAGGTGTAATCAGTAGCTTGTGGTCATGCAACAAAAACTTTTTTTACCACATGCACATACTGAATCTATGTAACTCAAAAGAATAGAAGAATTGCTCTACTTTGCATTAAATATTATGAAGTAGCATGTAAATGTGATGTACTTGGTGTCTTCCATGCTGAAATCAAGTGCTCTGCTCTTAGGGTGCCCCCTTATGGGCAATGCATTGGAGCTGGCCTCACTACAGGCACACTGGGAGGATGGCCCTCTGAGCTAAGGGCGGAGATCCATATTCAGTGTTATGTACATATACAGCTTAAGATAGCATAATTAAAATCCATTATAAGGAATGAGTAGGAGGGAACAGTGAGACAATTGTTTGTTTATTTTTTTTATCCAAACAGAAATTAAAATCATTGGTAACAGACTGTTTCTTTATATTAGACTTGCATGGAGAGGAAGCATTGTATTTATTGTACCTAAAGGAAAACGGTATATTACAACAGCAATCTCTGTAACGACAGATATAAAGCTGTTTGCTATTCTGTTTTGCTGGGGAACTGATTAAACTGACAGAATAAAATGGCAGTAAAACTTTTCAAAACAAAATTCTTTACTATTCTGTGAATAAATGTTAAAGGTTTCTGGTATCACTATTAAATGTACAACTCATTTATCAAAACATTTGCTAGCAATATGTAAATTGACTTACTTCCATTGTTCTTCTGTTGACAATAAATCATTTGCCTGAAACACACAAAACACATAACTTCATGGTGAGCAACAACCATATGGGTTTTCTTCTTTTAACCCTCACCACACCTTTCACTATGAGTTGTGGGATGTGGACATATATTCTGCAGTTCTGCAGGTTCCCTCTTTCCTGGATGCTCCTTAGGAACCTACTTTTTTTTTTTTTTTTTTTTTTTAAATCAGGACCATGATTGCAAAATTTCAATTTCTACTATTTAGAGAGGGTGTAGTTATTGAACTCTCTTTGGATGACTAGGCAGTGTAGACTATAACATACTATAAGTTTCTGCTGTTACAGTTTAACTGAAGTTGGAAGGGACATTTGGTAATTATCTGGTCCAACCACCTGCAAAACAGGGCCGGTCTAAGTTACACCAGATTGCTCAGGGCCATATCCAGTTGAATGATGAGTATCTCTGGATGGAGATTCCACCACCTCTCTGGGCCTCTTGTAGTAGTAAATACCCTTTTTTTTCAATCCATAGGGACAAAGTAACTGTAACAAAACTAGTAAGCTGATGTTTAAACTAAATGTATTCCACACATCAAAATAAAGGTCTAATCTTAGTGGCTACTCTAACCAGACAGCTGTACTGGTGCACTGTGAAGTCTGGCACTGGTGACCCCCCTGTCCC